AAAATAGTTACAATTTATAAATATTTATAAAGATACAAATATCATTCATTATATCTTAAATTTTATTTTAAATATTATTTTAAGTAATTTATTTACAATTTGTTACAAATATTAATATTAATTAATCGTTTATTAATCCTAATAATAAAAAATTATATATAAATATAATAATTTAATAAATATAATATTAAATATTAGAAGCAATGTTGTTAATTATTGACTTATATATATATTTATTTATTGATTATTAACTTTTCGACGTAAAGTATGATGTATCTGGCATATCATTTTAAAATTGAGATATATATGATGTGCCTCAAACATCATTCAACATAAAAATATATTTGTTTTATGAAAAAATTTATTTCAATATCCAAATGATAATAAATTATCTTTGTTTTAATTATTCCCTAAATTTCTTAAAAAAAATTTTTAACAAATAATATTTCATTTGTCAAAGTATTAAAAGTAATTCAATTCAATTTGGTTTGAACGAGTATAGTGATAAAACGAGAAGCACAAATTGACACTTTGACGTATTATAGTTTTTAAAAAGTATAATTAAAAGAAAAAATAAAATAAAAGAATTTAAAAAGTAATTGTAACAAATAAATCTATATTATAATCATTTATTTTATTAGAATAGAACATTAAAATTCTAATTTATATAATTTTTATTTATTCATTCTATTAAAATAAAATATTGAATTTATCTTTGCAAATATTTTTTATATAATATTATGATAAAAAAAACAAAAAACTATAAAATTCATATTATGTTAAAATTATACAAAATAGGAAACGTACCCTCAATATTCCAAATATTCTTGGACTACTCGACGACAATAAGGACATTGATAAGTCAATTATAGAAATGATTACAAGAACTCCATCCATAATATTCCAACCTGAAGTAAAATAAGCGTCGGAACCGTACAGCATACCAGATGCAACAACCTATGAATTATAATCTTTTCAATGAAAGTCATTTTCGTTTAATATTTCTGAAAAATTTATCAAATTTTCATGTCACCTTGATAAACATTTCAACAGCAAACACCCCAGTGAAAATATAATTCGCACTTGATAAAAAAAGTCTTTCTCCACTATCAGGTGGTATATTTGGCCGTTCCATTGCCAATGTAATACAATTGAGACCGATAAAAAAAAGTATTACGTTATCAAACCATCTTTGATCGACCAACAATCGACATAAAACACGAAATCTGAAAAATGTAAATGTTTGTTATTAATTAAATATATATAATGTACAATTATATATACGCTATGTTTTTTAATAAATTTCTGTTTATTTAAATATTTATAATTGGTTATATATATTCATGTTAATATTTTTCATACTCTATGATGAATGATATTGAAATTTTATAAATATTTAATAATAAGTATTTATTAAATAATTAAATAAAATGTATTTGTTAAGATACATGTTTTTCTTAAGATAAATTTGGTTTTGTTAAATAATTTAATAATTTGATAATTGACAACAAAAAATTTTTCATAAAACAGAAAGATCTTTAATTTTTGAAAGAGTTAAAAGCATTTTTGAAAATGATTAATTGAATATTGTAAGTAGTTGGAAAATTTATTTCCAAAA